CAGTTTCAATTATAATATTATTTATGGGTGTCGTCCGAAAAGCATAAAAACTTGCTCTGACGGCTTGGCGATGAACCGATTTAAGGATGTTGATATTAGATTTGTAGCTATTGCCATACATTATTAGTCAATCTTGCTTAAAACGAGCATTTTGGTAAGATAAGCAACAGTGTGAATGTGCGCATGGCTTTTCCAAGCAACGTACTGTATGAAGTTCACCCTTGTTAAAATAGAATTTTTTAACCGGAGACAGTGCGCTTTCCAATGATATTTGTTGAAAACGTGAGCCCGAGAATATGCAGCGCCTGCACGTTTAGTACTGGTAAGTCATTAATATGCATTAGTAGTAGGATTCCTGCATCGCATATCTGCTTTCGACAAATGTGTATGGAAATTTTAGCCCCTGATGAGTTTGCCCAGGCGAAAATCTCTCGTCCAATAGATTCGAGGATGTTGATTGCCTTCGTGCTATCTTTTCCTTCTGTAAAAATGTATACATCATCGGCGTAGAGACAATGTGCGACTCTCGATACACGGCAAAGAATTTTGCTAATTTCGTTGAAGGCGATCTGGAAAAGCATGACAGAAAGAGGAGATCCTTGCGGAATGCCATTCATTAGCGGAAATGAATCAGAGAGATGATTTTTGATTCTAATTTTGAATCGCCGATCCGACATGAATGATTTGATGTAGTTGAAGAATTTGTGTCCAACATTCCATAATTTCAAGAGTTTTAAAATAAGATGAAGACCAACTCTCTCAAATGCTTTTTTGAAATCAATTGAGAGAATTGTTACATGATTCCGTTCGGAAATTGCTTTGCTTGTAAAATAATCAATATGTAAAAAAGCGTCGATGCACCCTCTATCCCGCTTGAAACCAACTTATTGCTTTGTTATTAGGTTCTTGGACTCAAGAAACCAAGATAATCTAAATGCCATAATCTTTTCTAATACTTTAAAGAGGCATTTTTTGACTTTGAAATTGGAACAACTGCTGGCAGTTTCCACATGTAGGTTATATGGCCAGTTAAAAATACCGTATTATACAGGTCCATTAATTTCTTTTTAGTTGAATTAGACAGAGCATTGATCATTTGGTAGGAGATGCTTAGACCAGATGTCCTCTCCTTCGATTTGGAAAGAATACTTTCAAGTTCTAAGGTAGATATGCAATTTTTCAGGAAGATGGCGCATCTGTCAATAGTATTTGAAAGAGAAATTGGAGTCCTTTTGTTTTCAATGAAAGCACTGGAAAAGTTGCTGTCAAAGGAATATTCGCACCACACATGTCCAAAGTAATTAGAAATCTCTTCTCCGTCAGGTAAATTCCACTGGGAGTGCAGATGGCAAAAATTTCGTTCAGATTTGAAGTCCCATTGAGTCTGTTGATTTTGCTCCAGGCAACTTTCATTGATGTGTTTCTGTGAATTCTTTTCGAAAAAAATTCGAAACGAAGTGCCTTTGATTTTCGTAATTCCTTTCTGAATAGAGCATTTGCCTTTTTGTATAATAACATATGATCACGATCAGGACATATTTTAAAGCGATCCACTTTGGTTTTCCTCAATAACGAAAGCATGTTGTTCTTCCAAGGAAGCCTAGCTCGTTTAAAAGAGCTGTTGGATTGAGGAATAGAGAGATGAGCAACCGTGCGAATCACTTTAGACATAATAGCAGCATCATGGTTGCAATTCCCGTTAAATGGCTTTGAATTCAGAAATGACTCGGCCTGTTTGGAGTAATTGATCAGATCCGCTTTATCTAGCAGAAATTTGGCCTGCTTTGCTGGAGTAACAGAGGACTTTAAAAGTTTAAGATCGATTATGATTGGAAAGTGATCACTATTATGTAGATCATCAGAAATAGACCAGAAAACCAAAGGAAGAAGAGACGGAGAGAAACATGTTAAATTAATATGTGAAAAGGTGTGATGAGTTGAAAAGTGCCGCGCTTTTTCATCATTTAAAATGCAGAGATTGCTTTGAATGAATGCCTTTTCTAAAACAGTACCACGAGTGTTGTTCACTGTTGAGCCCCAGATGCTTCCAGCTATTAAAGTCGCCGCATATAATTAATGGGGAGGAAAGTACGGAGAATAAATTGTAGAGTTCTTGCTGAGAAAACGACTATGAAGGGCGGATATAGAGTGAAGGCACTGTAAATTTTATGTTTAAGGTTATTTGTATCGCTACGGCTTGTATGTATAAGCTTAAATTTATGCGTTTGTAAGGTATACTTGATTTTATAAAAACACCATCTCCTTGTTTGGAAAATGAATTGCAATCAGTATTCGTGAAGTATCCAGTGTATGATATTGGTGGAATAGAATTAAGAGAGCTTCTGCAATGGGTCTCTTGAAGGAATATAAAGGTTGGATTAAAATTATTTATGGGTGTACGCAGTTCATCAAAATTATTAATAAACCCTTTAATGTTCCATTGTAGAATTTTAAAAATTTTATTTAATTGTAATGACATTGATACGGAGTGGTTTGTGGGTTAACTTGCCATATCAGGGTTTCCGCCGAGAAGGTCCCTACAGGAATTTTGCGAGAATAATTTGTTCTTACCAGAATAATCTGTACTTAGGTGCTTGCGTACATTTTAAGTGTAAAGAGTGGGCGCACGTGAATAATTTGAAATTAAAGGTTGATTAAGGGATGAAAAATTGGATTCATTACAACTTGTAATTTGTTGACTAGAGTTGAGAGCTGGTGATTCTGGGAAATTTAGTTAATTAACTTTTAGCATACGTGTTGTTTCTCTAGTTTTTTCAATATTTGCTGTTGTTTTGATTTTTCCCTATTATCTTTGGCGGGTGATGGAAATGGTTTCACGATATAATTTTTGGTTGATGGCAGAACAGATTTTTCATTGGAAGGAGTTGGAATTAAAGGCTTATTAGGCTCGATTCGCGAGGCAACAGCAGCGTAGGTATTACTTTTGCCAATTCCTTGGGCTACAAATGGATTTATTTCCAGGTATTTGCGTCGCGCTTCGCCCATGCTACAGTAATTTTCTGTTTTGATTTTTAGAATTTCACGCATCTGTACAAAACGTCGGCATTTGTCTAACGCCGAGTGTTGATCATTACAATTTATGCAGAAAGTACGCGTACAGCTTTTAGGAAGTGGAGGAAGACCACAGATAGCACAAGATGCAGCACTGGTGCGTCTTTTTGCCGTACGACCCAGGCGTTGGCAGTTTTTGCACATCATGGGATTTGGAATGTAGAGTTCTATCTTACAATTATACCACGCCACATCAACTGTTCGCGGTAACCGATAGTGATCAAAAGTTAAAATATTTCTTCCTGTAGGAGAGCGAGTTTTTCCGTCGCCATTTAGTTTGGTGAATTTATATACTTCAGCCACTCCTTGATTGCCCGTTTCGCGAACAATTTCATCTTCCGGCACATGTTTCAAGCATGGGGCATAAATTACGCCTCTAACTGAGTTCAGTTTTTCATGCAGTTTAGCGGAAATAGCACATAGATTAGCTAAAGATTTCGACTAGATGAAATCTATTCGAGTTTTTATCTGGCGGCCTCCGGGCCATTATGCCTTATGGTTGTCTATTATTTAGTTATTTGTGAAATAACCAGTCACTTGAAAAGGTTTAGGAACTACTGAGGCTAATGCCAAATGTTTTCAATTTTTTATTTTTATTTATCTTTCTTTTTTTTTATAGATTTTTTTTATTATATTTAGAGGAAACACGTACGGTATCCGCGGTAATCAGTTTTAACAAAAAACTCTGGGAAGACCCGAGCTAAATACGCAAAAACACTGAAACAATCAAAAAATCGCAGACGAAAAGAAAACACGCACTTCCTCTAACATAAATCGACTACGAATGACAACAAGGTTAAATTGATTGAAAAGTATTCTAAAATACGTTGTTTTCTCTTTTTTTTTTGTGTATTATTTGTAAAATTGTAAGTTTAGATTTTAAGAGCTAGTTTTACACCAAATATTACGTATACTGTGAGAACAAATTTTCTTATATTTATATTTATATATATATATATATATAAATAATATAATAAATATATATATCTCTTACGTGCTAAAGCTCAGGGTGATAACAAAATACACTCAGGAATAACTTATTTATATATAACAGTTTAAACTAAAACGACAGAACTATTAATTAAAGAAATATTTTTAATCAAAGGCAGTTTTATAATTTTCTTTAACGAATTTATCAAAATAAGCGATATTCCCGTTCAGTGTATTTGTTCAAACAGTTGATTTTTATGAAAGGTTTAAAAATAATTTTAAAATAGTATTATTAGTTTTTAATTATGAAATAAAATTTAATTTTTGACATGTTTTAAATAAAATGTTGAGCAATGCGTGGTAGAAGAAGTGCTATCTATTTTATTACTTCGCACAATGAGAAACAAACAATTACTTTGCATGTTTGTATTAAGTGTATATAAAATTGCATTTGTACAATGAATTCTATAAAGAATTTATTTTGACTTCAGACGTTCTCTTTTGAATTTTAATTAATTACTTTTTCCTTTTAGTACAAGTTTTACCATTACAAAGTGACTCTTTTTATCGCATGTAAACGAGAATTTTGTATGGCTCGTGACGATCGCGAACGTTTGTGGCAGTCGTTACTACGTTTTCATTTATTTACGTTCAGATAGAGTAAGTTTTATGTAAAAAAACGATAAAAAGCTTAATTCTTTATAACATCTCCGTTCTTTCAACTACAAAAAAAGACGATTTCAAATATGGCAACTCTCGTATCATTTCTAATTTTTTACAAGTTGACAGACTAATTGCATCTAAAGCAAAGAATTTAAGTTGAAAAAATGCTTACCCCGGCGTTTAATGTCGAGGATTTGACACATTTAAGCTATACGCGCTCCAAAATGTGGGCTGCTTTTTTGGAAGTAAGTAAATGATTATTTAAAATCTTTTTGGCGAGATAAATGTCCGTTAGGAGACATGCCAGTTGAAGCGGTAACCGGCTTTAGTTGTGGCGATATATACGCCAATTAAAAATTTGTTGAGACGGTCGATTTGATGATTCTTAATCTCGCATATACATGATATGGTTTGACTTGTTGTACTGAAGTCAAACTAATCCAAAGAGGTTGAATTTTTTTCACATGTTTCCTGTCTTATTTTAGAAACTTATGAAAAATGAAGACGGAAAAGAAATAAATCTTGTTGATATTGAAAATGAATTTAAAAGTGACGTGGGGTCGAATTCCGGTGAAGATTGCGCATCTATTGAAGATAAGGACGCCACTAATAAAGAAATAGAACCGGAAGTATTAAATAATATGACCAATTGCAGCCGTCTGAGGATGATCTTCAATAAGAGCGGACGCTTTCCAGAAGTTTCCATTCAAGATGATGGCTCTGATAATGAAGATAGACACTTATTGGTGGACTTTGTTAATCAAACATTGCCTATTGTCAGCGAGCATAATCGTCAAATGAAAGAGTCTGGTCTTGAGCAAATCCTGAATACCTTTGATACTCAAAAAATCGAAGAGAAAGTTGGAAGTTGGTTAAAAAATTACAATATGGCTAAGGAGAATTTTAAAGAACTTCATGATGCAACTGCCGTTTTGCCAAAAGGCGGCAAGGTAGTGGATCCAGAAACAGATTTAGATTCTTTGCATTCGGGTGAGACAGCTCGTTACATACGGTCTAGTCGACCTCGGCGCGTTAAAAGCGTCTCCAGTTCCACTATGATGATTAAAACATATTGTAGAGTAGAAAGCACACGAAAAAAATTACATGAAAAATACGGTTGCCATCAAGAATTTTACGAATCGCATTTAAAAGCTATCAGAACTCGACGAATGATGAAAATGGCCAATTATCGCGCTCATTGTCTTGATGAACCAAGGTCGATGGCAGCAAAACGTCATAAAGTACTCCGCCGTAAGCGTAATCGCGGTAGAGAACGATCACTCTCTTCCGATTCTGATGCTGACTGCAAAAAACCTCATCATTTTCGGTCCAAAATAGTAAGCCCCTATAAAAAATGCTGTATGCTATTCACGCCAACTAGATGTCGTGCGCAGAGCCATAATTATCAGTGCCAATTATCTCATGTTGGCTGCAATCACCGACTTATAGAATGTATTGCGAATTCGTCATCGTCATCATCAGGCACCCCAACGAATTCAAAGCGTAAAAGTAAACGACGCTTGAACCAAACCAGCAAACTTTACCTGGATCCTAAACCCAATAAAAGAGAATGCGACAATAATTGCTACAGCCGTTTCAAATTGTGCACAAAGTACAAGTAAGTTCTCTTAATTTCTTTTTTTATACCAACAGTAGGAATACGTTCACGAATTACATGCTCTACATATAATCTATTAGCCCGTGTAGCGAAAGCCACTTGTCAGTCCGTCTGTTGAAATAATTCAATTCAAAGATTCGCTTTAGCAGATTAAATATCAAGGGAGTCAATCCATGGCCAATTACTTATAGACTGACTCTCTGAAACTTCGTTTTAGAAGGTTGTATTCAAGAGTAGTGGGGACTGTCTGATTGCAGCATTTTATGATAAATAATAGAAAGTTCGGTTTATGTAATATCCAATTTCTTCTTACCTAAACGGAACCATACAATTCATATATGTAGCTAGTTATCTACCGTATATATAAATCGTTAGCAAAGTGTATCTAGCCAGTACGGGTATAAACGTATCCTTAATTTTAGCATAGCCATATAGAGGCAATCCATAGATAATTACAGTAATGCATTATAATTTAATTACAATATATATGGATTGTGTGTTTGTTCATCTTACAGGAATTTAACCGATACTTCTATTGAGGAGTGGTTTGTAGAAAATTATTCGCCAAAGAAATCAACCAAGAGAGATGAGAAATTAAAAAATGAAAAACCTGAAATATCCGCGAAAAAGTGTGAACACAAGAAGGAGAAAGAGTATTGTAATGCAAAGCAAAAAGTTGACGGTAAGAATGCAACTAAAGCGATTCCATCAAATAGTTCGGTTTCGGAAAAATCGAAAGAGCTTGCGAATTATGATAGTGACGAAAGTTCCATGACAGATGATGACTTGCCATCCAAAATATTTCTTGCAGAAAAAGAACAAAAATGCATAAAACTGAAGCCGACCAAATGTTCAGAAAACACTCTCCCAACGAAAATTTCGAACGCAAGCACGCTTAAATTAAAAAACAGACAAAGACCCATAGCAATGAATACATCTAAAGAAGAAGGGGCAGCAGCAGAAGCACCTAATATGTTTACAAACTATAGTGGGAATTTCACCTCTCAGAACCATTCCAATATTTCCATAACAAGTGTCAATTTTGCGAAAGCGCAATGTGTTTACAATTCCACAGCCATAAAGGAATCAAATAATATCGCTAGAAAGAGACAATTTACAACTGATTACAATGCAGCGAATTCTATGGAAGAAACATCGGCTAATAATAATAATAATATCCCCAAGAAACAGAGAATGCCAAAGACAATAGCTGTTTCCTCCACGTCGAAATCGTCGCCTTGCGAAAAAGTGGATTCGTCAACCATCTCTCGTCGTCACAAGTCGTCCTGCCTACCAGAGTACAGCTCTGAAGAAAGTGAATGCGCCGTCGTATCTTCCACAACTACTTTTGGTAATGAACCGGGAAAGGAAACTGCTATCAATAATACCAAAGGCATACTGATCTACGCACCATGTCAACGTTCTTTAAAAAGTCAATCTGATAGCAAATTTTTCGACGTAACTCAAGAACACTTGAGTTCAATTATAGGCGAAAGAGCGGCTGAGAATTTTTTTAAATATAGCGGTCGACGACGATTTAGTAGTAAATCTAAAGTTTACTTTAAACCACCGCCTGCAGAAATTTCGCCACCTGATAGTGATGATGATGTTTTCGACTGCTTTGATAAATGCGGAGATCTTTATGAATCTTTTAGTCATAATAGCAACGATAAGTAGAAGGGATAAGTGAATTTCTCGTTGACATACCTTTAGACCTTTTTATTGAAATGCATTTACTTTTGTTTTATTTTAGCTACTTGTACATGCAATTCAACTAAACAAAATTAACAGTCGAATTCAAAAACATCTTAAAAGTGAATCTTGTACTAATTGTTTTAAAAACTAGTATAAATTATAAAGGAAGATATGAAAAAAGAAGAATAATAAAAACAAAGTAATTTAAAAATAATAATTCATGCATAAATATTTATTTAGAAAAAAAAAAGAAAACATGTGACACAGAAGCACATCCGCAACAAGAACAGATCAAGGTTGCAAGGGAACTCTTAAACCATGGCAAACATGCATAAGCTTGTTGGCAACAGACACGTTAGCAACACCATATAATTTTCGAAATAAAAAAAAATGAGATATTAAGAATGCAAGTTAGTTAGTTAAGTACGGCAAAGCTAAAGCGCGGGTATAAAGCAAAATTGCTTTAATAATGAGAATAAGTGATAGACATCGTTTAGGTTTCTGCAAAGAACTCTGAGCGGGTTAAACAGCTCATAATTGTATTTACATTGACTAAGCTTAATCAAGATAAAGTGCCTAGAGAAGCGGTTAGTGACATTAAAGCTTATCTCACTAAGTAACGCGGACGAGTCAATAGTACCATCTATTACTTTGATTAAGAAGGAAACGAGAGACGAGAGGAAGGCAGAACAATCTGTTTCTCAAGTGACGGCATGGTAAGAATACCAGAAGCAAGCTATTTTCATAGGGGGGAAGAGAGCCCAACCCAATTTCCTAAGGGCAAACAGCGAGAATTGCTTTTGAACAGATTATATTGAATCTACACAGCACATGTAGGAAGGAGACCACACAATCGACCTTTTTATAAAACCAAGCGCGGATCTAGCTTTGGTTAACGAGAGCTCAATATGCAAATTAAAACGTAACATAATGGTCAAATAGAACGCCTAAATCTGTGAACGAATCGACGTAAGAAAGTTTCTTACATTTATTTAGATTTAGTTCCATAAAATTCAACGAGCACCATGTGATCAAATTATT